TAGTCACTGCTTTAGATCTAATATCCTGCATTAATTAATTATCCAAATAAGCAACAGAATTTCAGTGAATTTATTACCTTTTCTTCTCCAGACTCAGGCTAGGACTGACCATCGCTGACATTAAGAATACACAAAACACAAGGATAACCTAATAAAGATGTATTTACACTTTTTCAGTGGTTAAAATAGAAAAAATTATGATTAGAAACACCTTCTGTCCTGATAAGCATCTGTGCTTTTTAGCAGGAAAATCCCATCCTATGTTGTTGCGAGGTTGACTGCAAGATACTGGGTATCCTATTTGCTACAATTTGCCACTATTTGCTACTATTCAAGACTGTTCGCCACTATTCGCGCTATTCGAGACTATTTGCACTATTCATACTATTTGTTATTCGGGACTATTCGCTGTTCACTATTCGTGACTATTTGCTATTTGGGTTTTCCAGACACCCGGTTTTTTTGGTCCAAAATAAAATGGCCATAACAACCAGGAGACTGTATTGACGGGATGGCTTCAGGGCAGGGTTGCAGTGAAATGTCAACCATTTATATAGGCATGCAGTAGGTGCAAAGTGTATGGCTGTTGTCTCTTGGCACTCGTAACATTTATTCTCTCACTCAATGCAGGTTGTGGCTGAAGAATGAAATCCAAACTCTCCATTCACTGTTGCTTGAGTTGATCAAAGCTTTTATTACAAGAGCTAAAGTGTAAGTTCGCATAATTCTGTTACTAGCCTGTCCTGTGTCACTTGAATATCAGATGCTAATTTAACACCAGTTTGAAAGAAAATGAAAAATAACACAACTTCATGCCCAATACACAAAGCTTTTAATGGTAAAAACAAGTATATCTATGCATTACAGACCTATATTATAGTAATGAGCTCCCAGACAGGCTGCAATAATTAAGAATCAGTACCTTTAGTCTGTTATCTAATTTCAGTTTGACATTTTGTGTTTTGTAGCGAGATTGACATTCTGATGCCTGGTTATACTCATTTGCAGGTAAGAGATTCTTTTCATATTTTATCAGAAATATTTGACTGTTTTGAAATTGTCACTTCCTGTCCAGTACCCAGATTAATTGTTTTCAATTGTCGTTTTTTTGCATGTTGTTTCTTTTTTCAAGCGTGCTCAACCTATCAGATGGAGTCACTGGCTCTTGAGGTACTGTTTAATAAATTTTATGACGAAGTAGGGACTGATGGATGAGTGATAAAAACAGACATTTCTTTTCTAAGAAATATCCTAATCTCCCACAAGAGCACTAGAGATCCAAAACATTCTATAATGCTGATGATGTGAGAACACAGTGATGGGTGTGGTGTGTGGGATTGCTTGTTGTAGGGTTATCATTTCTGTGAGTCAGCAAAAGCAATCAGGGTGATGCATGGACTGGATAGTATTTGTCAGCGTCTTGATCAACACTCGATCAATATCTCCATCAACACTCAATCGACATTCAGTCGACAGCTGGTTGATAGTTGGCAGAGTGTCGACTGACTCATATGTATCGATCTACACAAGATGTCGACACTAGAGTCTGCAAAAATCAGTTGACTCTCAACTGACTGTCAACCGAAATGTTGATCGAGTATCGATGGAGATGTCAATCAAGTGTTGATTGAGATTTTGATAGAGTGTTGATTGAGGGTGTCAATCAACACGTGACCACAGATGTCTTTAGTACACATGATCCCATGGATAACTGTTGTCTGTCATCAATGTAGAATCTTTACAGATGTCTCTGTTGCAAGGGTCGAAAATAAGTATGCAATAAAAGGCATCTGTTTTCTTAGGCTATCAGCACTTTACAAGAAAGAGTTAAATACTACATGTCTTTAATTAGCATTTGTTTTGTACTCAAAGCATGCAAATAGCTATTGCTGTATACCCTCTGCACACATTGCATGCCTAGGATGCAAGAATATCCCTATTCCAGTGTGCAAATAAACTTGTGTCTGATAGCCGCTACAAGTAAAATTTTAAATTAATTAATCCTGTTACTGAAGTACATCATAGTTAGAGCTTGCCCACAGGGCAAAGTGCAGAAACTGGTTTACTTTGCACTCTGTCTTCATAGGCACGTATGACATGCAAAGTGCCATAGCTGCATTATTTTTTGCACATGTGTATTGCGCTCTTAGTGGAATATATGCTGAAATTCTATCATCCTAGGCCTGCAATGCATACGAAGCCCATAGCTACATTGATGCCCCCCATCTAGTCATGCACTGCAGCATGTATAGTGCTCTATCATTGATTTGATGCCATATTTAAAAGTCTGCATATGACCCAAGTGGCCCATCAGGCTGGTGTTAATCTCTGGTTTCTGTAACATGAAGGAACTAGGAGTATTTCTACTTCCCCCTGGATGGGATGCTACTCCATCGCAGGGTTATATACTCCCCAGCATTAAATTCGCCGGTACCCATTTATACACCTTGGTGGAGAGAGGCACTGTGAGAGTAAAGTGTCTTGTCCAAGAACGCAACACATTGTCTCCGGCCAGGGTTTGAACCTGGACTGCTCGATCCGAAGTCAAGTGCACTAACCTTTGAGGCCACCATGCCTCCACAGAATCCTGCTTTGATCTTGCTATTTCTTGTTTGCTAGGCTGCATGTAGGAGTAAATAACTTTATAGGTCCAGTGGCAATAGGCTCACAGTTTAGTAGTGTAGGATATGTGCCAATGTTGTGCAGAAATTATGTTTAATAAAGACATTGTTGTTAACTTTAAGCTATACCTGGGCATTGAAGAGAGATTGTGAAAGACTGGAGGAACTCTCTAAACGAGTTGATGTCAATCCTCTTGGAAGGTGGGAGTTTATTTGCCCTGAGTTGTAGTTGAAGTAAATATACTTTGCAGCAGAAATGTTTGTTTCAGTAAAATTTCAATCCAAGAAAAGGAGAAGGATCAAGGGTGGGAAACCAGGGGGAAGGGAAGAATTCCGCCCCCCCATAAAAAAATCATTGTCAAGTTTTCCTTCATCCATAGATACTCTAGAGCAGTCAGGTGCAATTTATTGGCAACAAATAGTAGTTAAAAAAAATGAACATCATCTATACAACACATTATGATATAGTACATGAAGGTGTGTCTCACTTGTATTGATTATAATAAGGTTATTATATTTGTGTAATTTTATTTGTTGTAGTGGTGCCATTGCTGGAAATCCTTTCAATGTTGACCGCCAGTTTCTTGCCAAAGGTAAAATTATGGCTTATTAAAGGGTGCACAGCTTAAAGCATGCCCTTGCATGTAATAGTAAGCTCTATAGTAATTAGTAAGTAGTAAGTAGTCTGTCTGTAGTAAGTATAGTAATCATTGTAAGTTTACTTTTAATTGTAATTTTAACTTTTTAGCCTTTTTATTCCGTTTTTAATCTTGTCATGC